GTGAATTGTCAGAAGTTAGAGTTCATGGGCTGGTCATTGGATCGGGTCCCAGTGGCTTAGTGGTCTACGAGCTAGCTCACCTTGTAACCGTAAGGTCGTGAATTCGAACCCTGGCGGTGGGTGCGTACCGCTGAATAGTCCCAAACGAAACAGCTTTCCAGTACTCCCAGTTGGTTTTCTAATGGTTCCGTAACCAATATCAGCTCATGATGAAATCCTGTAACCAATCAATCAAATCCCTACAGACCAACACTTGAACATCTGAAGTCAGTCAGTCACTTCTATAAGGGTCAGGAGAAGCATTCCCAGCAAGCTATAGACTTTCATCAACAGCTGCCTTCGCTCCATACTGAAGATCAAATGGCCAGCCGGCCAGAAAGAGTTAGCAACAAGAAACTCTGGCTGGGAATAAACCAACCGACCAAGAACCTATCGCTCAATAAATATTTAGGCGAAAATGGATCAGGCATACGTTGAGGAGGCCGTCGAATGATATCTCGTGCAGAGCAGGCCACCGAGTAGAATCCAAATGGGAAATGACGAGTAGGACATCAGTGCGAGGGTAATATGGAGGAGGTCGTGTGGTGAAGAGGAGACTAGACAACATGAGTAATCGTAGACCCAGCTGAAGAGAGTAGCAGAAAAGAGAAGAAAATGGAAATGTGTTGTTGAAGCCTTATGTTCCACTCGGAACTCAAGAGAGTAGTAATAATGAAAATGAACTGATTGTGGTTGGTTAGATTATGCAGCCAAAGAGGGGTGACAGAAGATAAGAACACATTGGATCGATAAGAAAATTCTAGGTCAGGAATTGGTGCATGATTTTTGTTTAATGTCACACAAACTCAAAGACTTACGAGCGAAAACCAACAAATTGGAAGGAGAAGACAGGACCTCAGGTAACCATAGGAGAGGCAGAGGTGATCATAGCGGTGACGAGCACAAATCATTATCAACGGGGGAAATTTGAAGGGAGGCAGTATCCTTTCAACTACAGGTGGCAAGAATGAGGATGGCAAAGCCAGCCAGGCTCGAAAAAACAAGACAAACTTTCATTAATCTGAATTTAGTGTGGAAATCTGTTGCACCTGAAATAAAGAGCATATTTGGATAATCAACGCTAATGTCAACTCAGTCAGTGCTTCTATATGATTCACAGACATATCGCGTCACCAAAAGCCTTTTTAACAGACTTTTATCAACAGCTGTCTTCGCTACATCTATACTGAGTATCAGATAGCCAGCCGGAAAGAATTAGCGACAAGGAATCCTAGGGATGAACCAACCAAGAACCTGTTGGCTAACTAATATATAGGAGAAACTGGAGATGGATCGGATAAATGCTTAGGAGACTAACGAGTGACATAATGCGCCATGCTGTCGAGTGTAACCTAAATGGAAACCGATGAGTTTGGTGTGACGTGCAGTGAGAGATGAGACCTTATGCGCAATCGTGGATCAAGCCATAGAGAACTTGCAGAGAACACGATAAAGTGGCGATGTGCTTTTGAAGCACTATGTTCCACTTGGAACCCAAAGGAATATAATAAATAATAATAGTAATAGTTAACCGTGACTAATCTTACTACACTATTTCTAATGGTTTCTTTCTAAATGGTTTATTGTGCCTAAGTATGGACAGAGTTCCTTGTACTTATACAGTTATAAGTATGATGCTCTTCACTGTCTTCATACACGCCTGAATATTATAAGAGAATTAACTGAATGGGAATCGATTATACAGAAAGTTCGTTCATCTTGATGAGGAAGTGATGGCACAACTCAACAGACACATAACCGACAACAGTGATCGTCTTCTACACTTCTGTTCCTAGTCAACACTAACATAAGGCACAAAGAAACACACAGCATAACCTGGCGACCTCCATCACCAAATCAACGTTGGACTCAGACAGACCACATAGCGATAGGGTATCGTTGGCGAGGGTCAGTAGAAGACTGACGATCCTTTTGGAACACTTGCGTAGACTCTGATCGCGCACGTTTATGCTTACGATTAAACGGAAATAAAAAATTGTTGGCAGCGAAGCAGTTACGTCCCCAACTAGATCGAGACAATGAGTCCCTATTTAAGGAAGAAATAGCTTCAGAACCCCGCCAACTGATTTTCCCTCCTAACCTAACACTCTACGCCTAATCTAAATATTACTCAGCATATTATACCTCCCAACATCGGAGGTAGAACGCAGATATCTAGCCTTTTCATATCTCCCACTTTCAATGACCATGTCTCATAGCCATAAAGTAGGGAGACAAGTCTTCTTGTGATAATCACAGGGGGATTAACTTGATTAATTCGGTGTCTAAAGTTCTAGGCGCGATAATCATGCGTAGACTAAGTGGTCCACGGGAAGAACAAACACGTGAGAACCAGGCAGGCTTTAGACTAGGAAGAGGGTGTATTGATCATATCTTCACCCTTCGCCGTCTCTGGCGTAGACGTGATATCCGGCTGGCTGTCGACCAAAGGGTGTGTGTACTGTTCAGCAGTCCGCTCCGCCCTCCCTTATGGCTGTAAGACCTGGCCATTGAGAGTGGAAGACATGAAACGCCTGGCTAGCTGTCTTTGATCATAGGTGCCTGAGTTCTATCTCCCATGTGAAGTGGTATAATAGGGTGAGCAATATTGAGGTTAGGCGTCCAGTGCTAGGTAAGGAGGGAGAGGAATTCAACAGATTGTGAAGCATCTGCATCGATTAGGACATGTGTTGCGTATGCCTAGTCATCGCCTCCCTCGACGGGCAATGTTAGCTGACTGACATAGGGTCAGGCTGGAAAAGAGAGAGCCAGTGGTGGTCATACCAAAACATGACACCAGTCAATGAAATTCACAACAGTCAGTTTACGCCGGTCACGTAGGAAGGTGTAGACTGCCTGTGGGGTCCTCGGGGCGGGGAAAACCAATGACGTCTGGAGACAATCGGTGACATGGCTCAAAGTGATCGTTCTCAATGACTGGCGCAGATGCATCCACTCCTTGTGACTAATAATTTCCAATGAAACTATATTGTTCTTCATTATTACTATTCCTTTTGTCTCATATCTCTGTCTACTGTCTCTCTTGTGCATTTCTTCTCTTACTTTGTGTGCTACATGGTGTATGTGGCGACTTGAACTGCTGCACATCGGTGCAAAGTTCTATGTTGAAAACAGACAGATAAAGTAGGACACAGAGAACTTCCGCACAACACACACGTCCTTTGTTCGATAGCTGGATATTACGTCTACGCCAAAGGTGATGTAAGTTGGAAAGTATTTTGTACCGATGCTGAAATTTCATTAGCAATCAGTTAGTTGGGGTTGATGCAACTTTCTAAATAAATGAACTGGTCAACACGTCCTACCACTCCACTCCTTATCCTTAAGCTAAGAGTCGATCTAATCCAGTCCTGTAGCATCATCTTACATTTGACAGAGTATCATTGATATAAGAATAAAACTTGGGCACTGTGGTAGAGTGTAATTCCATTATGGGTAAATTTTATTTTGATAAAGTCTCACAGTGTTATACAGTAATATTTACTGATTACGTTTCGAGCACAAAATATGGAAAATATTACTACCAATCAAATCAAGTAAAAAACAATGGAACTATATAAATGAATTTAGAAAGTCGTGTGATTACCTTGATATGATTATGAGCAATAAATTGTCCTCGAAACGTCATCAGTAAACATTAATGTATAACACTGTGAGACTTTATCAAAATAAAATTTACCCATAATGGAATTACATTTGACAGAGGTCAATAGGATGTCAAACGTACGAAGATTGCTGCTCAAGGTCTTAAGAAGACTGCATTTCATCAGCGTTTTCGCCTAGGAGGACTATATTATCCACATATTCTAGGTCAACGAGATTACTCCATGGTAATAGGTCAATCCCTGAATTCAGTTAGGCTCAATTCCACTAGTACATTCATAATGAAACTAAACAGGAATGGGGATAGCGGGCATCCTTCACAGACACTGCTGGTTGTCATCACTTCAAATGATAATTCGCCATAAGCTCTAATATGACTGAGTGAGTTAGAGTAGAATGTCTTCACTGGTTTGACATTAATTCTCGGTGAGATATCATCATAGCAACTATCGATCGATAGAGTCAAATTCCCCTTCGTGTCTAGAAATATGGCAAGTGTTTGATACCATTAAGTATGCCTATGTTCTAAAATTTGTCGAAGAGTCAATATATGACCAATACACCCTCTTCCTAGCCTAAAGCGTGTCGGGTTTTCCCAAGCACCTCTTAGTCTACGCACGATTAGTGAACCTATAACTTAAGATACTACATTAATAAAGCTTATCCTCCTACGATTATCACAGAAAGGCTTGTCTCCCTTCTTATAACTTAGGATAAACGATGATCTAGTTTGAAGGAACTGTGCCTGATTCCAAGACATTACCCAATATCCAACAGTTTGTCACCACTGTCCTTAGGCACCTCTGAAGTCATTTCATCAGAACCTGCAGCTTTGCCTATCTTTAGACACCCTTTGGAACCGCAGTTGGAGGACCTATGTCGGCATTACTGTTTGGAATAGAGTAATTATTATTATATTCCATTCATGTAGATATTGGATGCTGGGCAAAGTGAGCATGGCTTAAGACTAGTTACATTGCTACTCAAAGTGTCCCCAGAGAGAAAATTGAAGCGCTGCTTTTCTTATATATACATTGTCTCACTATTTGACCTTCACAACTCACTTCCCTAATAAGTCTGGATAGCTGTGTAGTGCTACCTGATCCTGCACACAAGCACAATGACCGAAGATGAAGAGAAATTTACCTTGCAGTAGGATTTAACACCCAAGCAGTCACTTGCTTTGGTGTAGCAACCTTCACTTACCACCACCTGTAGCCTACTTATAAGCTCCTTGACTTCATGACGACGGAATGAAATCCAGACGAAAAGCAGTCGATTTCTAAATAAGTTATGCTTGAATGTAAATCATGCAGAAAAGAAAAAGCCAATCAATCTGTTTTCCACAAATATGAAATGTTTATCATAGCTCTCTCTCTCTGTCTCTGGTCGTTCACTTTAGAAATTACAATGAAAAATTGTACAAAAGTATTTAAAAATTAGGTTTTGAAACCATCACTAGCAAAACATTTCATATAAACCAAACCAGTTACGCTATTGTGAAAAATAACCAAACAAGGATTCAATTAAGGATATTTTTGAAAAAAAATTCCATGTTCTGCTTGTTATTTGTGTGTGTGTGCGAGGGGATGTGTAAAAATTATTGATTATTCCACTAAAATATACACAATATATATACATACAACAATCAGCTGGTTGAAGGCTGTTCAGTCATCCTCATCTTTTTCATAATGAATAGTAACTTTACGTTTCTTTGTAGGATTCGCTAAGACAAGATTATGTTCTGCCTCTTCCTCCTCCTCCTCTTCACTGCCTTCATCAATAGCAGCAATATCTTCAATGTCTTCTTCTATATCAGATCCTGAAGTGTAGGCGATCTCTTCATCATTCTCTTCGTATTCTTCTTCCTCTTCCTCTTCTTCAGATTCTTCATCGTGTATTTCTTCAGCTTCTAAAGCTTTTTCAAAAGCCGACTGATCAATATTATATATTTCTTTAGATGATGTCGATGCACGTAACCGCTCTAATAACTCTTGTTCTACAGTTCTTTCAATACGTGCTACACGCAATGCTTTAGCTTCTCTTCTTAATTCACGTTTTTCAACTGTACGATTAATCGGTTCCAGTTTTTTCTGTCTTGACAATGCTAAACGTCGCATATTTTTAAGATAATCTCTTGTACGAAAATAGCGTTGTTTAACACGACTTATCATCCATTTATCCCAGTATAACAAGTGCTCTTTAATCTGTTTCAATGCTTGTTCTTTATTCCGGCGTAGCTTTATCCGTTCCCATTGTTTACCAGGATAGGGGATACGTTCAGGTTCTCTAACATACAAATAGATAATACCGTCTCTTTCTTTAATTGTTGCATATTGAGAATTAGCCAATGGGCAGGAATGTCTATTACACAATCCTGTGACATTATCACCATTTCTACAGAATCGGCCTGTTTTAGTTTTAACAACAAATGAACAAAAGGAATGGTTGATTGTATGCCATATTACATCATCGTTGTTCATTTTTTCTCTCTAGCTGAAATGTTGGAAAGGAAAAATGGAGAAAGATATAGAATTGGATCTTACTCATAGTTATAAAAATTAGACATTTTTTTATTGATTAAAGAAACAAAAATCAATCAGTCAATCAATATATGCATACAGTAATAATATATATATATATGTAATATTAAACACTATTCCGAACAATAATGATCATACACAATGGAAACTTTCAGCATTTCATAATCAGATGAAAATATCCAGTTACCAGGATGGGCAAAGAAAGACTGATAACTGCTTCTTTCTGAACGCATAAATCAGGCTTCAGGCGCTTGATGGAGATGGCTTCAGCAAACTTAAGGAGAATTGAACTCTTTTGCCTATTGATAATTTTGAACGATTTTGCGACGTCCACCTCATGCATGACCCGTGTCAAGGAGATGCCTGGCGATGGCACTGTTTAAAGCATTTGTTCCCAGCTGTAGACATAAACTTTTTGGTACATGTTCAGAAAATCGTAGATATGCCCCTTCTTTCTGTCCTTCCAATGTAACTGCTCCCGCAGATACATGTAAATTTGTATATACAGTTGGATTGTTAACATGAGAAGGATATCTATCGATTTTTGATTGCACCAAAGGAGAGCAAGTTGTTCGATAGACGGGGACGAGCTTAGCTGCAGGATAGGCTCTGGCTAGTGACGTACCACTTTATTCTGCAAAAACTGTAGTTCTTGCTTTATTCAAAAAACGAGATTCATTTCGCAGTATCTTCTTAAGCATTACTCGCAGACATACACTTACAAAATGAGTTTCTAGCTCATTTGTGCTCAAGGGTCTTTTTACAGCTAATAAACAGGGCAAAAAGGAAAAATCAATAAACACTGAAGGATAGTATTTATTTCTTTAGGCGTTAGATAGTTAGAGGCGATTGGCATAAAGCACTGAACCTAGTTTTCGTGCTTGTTGGCACTCGTACCTGCAACCTTCAAAGAACTCATGTCTGCTCTAGGCTTCTAACTCGCGTCACACAGTGTTGCAGCCAGGGATGTTACTACTGAACTACTTGTGCTCAAGACTGAGCCGCTGTGGGATTGTGACTGATGGGTTTCAACATAGAACTCTACACAGAAGTACAGAATTTTCAGTTGCCACACTCCATTTAACACAGAAAGGAAGATCTGAAAGAACAATAATGGGTAGAAATGTAAGGGAGAAAGAACAGTAACAGGGTTTAATCGGATATGGCGCTAGTCATTGAGAACGATCACTTTGAGCCATATTGTTTCTAGCCGTCATTGGTTCTTAACATCCTGAAAACCCCAACCAGTCAGTCAGCCAGTTTACACCTCCCCACGTGGTTGTCTAACAAACTGTTATGAATTTCATTGACTGATGAAGCCACGTTTTGGTTTGACCGCCACTAGTTCTTTTCCAACCTAGTCAATCCTCTGTCAGTCAGCTAACATTTCCCGTCGAGGAAGGTGATGGCTAGGAATGCAAGCGTAACACATGTCCTAACCATCTCAATCGGTGTAACTTCACAACCTCGTCATTGATTTCCCCTCGTTGCCTAGAGCTCGTCGCCTAACATCAATGTTATTCACCCTACTATGCCACCTAACACGGGAGATAAAACACAGACACCTATGACCAAAGACAGCTAGCCTTTTCATATCTTATACTTCCAATGGTCATGTCTCATAGTCATAAAGGAGGAAGGAGCGAACTGCTGAGCAGTACACACATCTTTTCGATCGATAGCAAGACATCCCTGTAGCATTGATATAAGGATATAACTTAGGCACTGTGGTAGAGTATAATTCCATTATGATTGGTTACTAGGGTGTAACCAACGTCACGTGTTGTTCTTTAACTACTGGTCACACTAAACGAACGCCTTGATTGAAGTGAAATACTACGTTGAAATTCGTCAATTAGAAGGTGAATACCGAAACATAATGTCAGCAGATGTTAGGAAAAATAAAAGGAACACTGATTGGAAAGCTTGTCAAAACTAGGTTGATTTAAGAAGCACTGAAAAACATTCTTCAGGCTTCTGAATACCTAAATTTTGTCTTAACAGGAGTAGAATGGATAGGTAATTCACTTGTCTGTTAAAATTTTAATATACTATCCAACCATTTTAATACACAATATGTGAAGGCAATGCTTTTGAAGTTTTATTGGGATTCAGTTGAAATAGTAAATAGGCGTTATGGACAGTATGTAAAACAACAGACCAGTATACAATACGTTATCAAGACATATATGGTGACTTAAAATGTACTTTTAGTGGACTAATGGTTCATCGACTAAGGAACTCCACTTTTTAAACACTGAAATGCGTGTCCAAAATCTAACCAATCTGCGGAGTTTAGGATACTGAGTTACCTACGGGAGATTACACAATAAGTGTGGATCAGTTATATACATGAGTATACTGACTTTCATGTCTAATAGCAACAATAGAGATTAAATGGATTTAACTCAATATTGATCGAATCGACATTCTGTTCCAGTTGACATCTAAATTAGTTGCTAGTGATTACTTAATTGCTCAGTAATGGGGTATCAGCCACAATGATTTTGTGAGCCTGAAGACAGTTTCCCAAGCTGAAATAGGTGGAGTGGGAATCGAATGACGCTCCCATTGACCGAAATTCGAGTGCTTCAGCCAATGAACCACATGTCCACGTGTACCTGATGAGTTACACAGTGAAGCTGGATACAGCTTTGTATGCTTTTGGAAGTGTGTGGGGAAATATTAGTTTCTACGGCCGCCCACAACGTGAAAGTGCGTTAAAGGTACATTGATAAGTGATAACCGACAGTTGTCTTCCTCAGTTAACTTAGCTTAGAAAACATTGCTACTGCTATATGTACGAGAATTCCTTAAACGACCTTTAGATTTTATTGTAAAACAGTAGAAGTCCACTGTTTACTTTTTTCACCGTACTGCTGCAAAGTCTCAATTTCAACTAATAAATTATTTGATTAGGTATACTTCTATAGCATTTTCAATTCATTCATCCTTTTGTATACTATTAGACCTCGTAATTTTAATTTCCAATTTCTATGGCTTTACACCGCCGTTGTGCGAAATGGGTGGCAAGTTAATAATTAAACAGTAAGCATCATAATGAGTTTATTTTCTGCATAATCAAACCCTGAAGTTCCAACAAGCATTTTTAAAATTAAACAGGTGGATCAGAAACAATCAAACCTTAAGCATGGCGTATAAAAAATATTAGGAGACTAGTTAAGAGTATATGTTTAACTGTGAAGGAATAAGTACTTCGTATTGTTTTAAGCGCGAATTATTCAGGCAACTATAGAAAGGAACGATTTTGTTTAGTTTGGAACCTGATGTCAAATATTTTTAAATATTTAGCCAGAAATTAATAACTAGACAAACCGGAATACCAACCAGCATTTGAGAGTAAAACTGGTCTGGACTGTTATTTGTACTCTCTTGACTACTGTAAAACACTCAGTTGATATAATAGCGATAAACGTTCGAAAGGTGAACAGAACTCTGGAATGGTACATCAACGAAGTTCTCATTGATTCTCTGCCCAAAGCGACGTCATACAGCGAACGTTTCACGCTAATCAGTATGTTTACCATAATTCTCAATTATATTGAGGTATTATTTGAAAGTTTCATGTACTCCATAAAATACTTTCACATGTGTTGTTACAAAAATATTTATTCGTAGAAGGTTGTGGATAAATGTACATCGGCAAATAAATCACTACTAAATGACTATTTGTTTGATTTGGATATTGTGTTGAAACAATAATACTGGTAATAACACCTGTCGTAAAAACTGCCATTGAACGACATCCTATAAGGAGAGGGAGGGGTGTTATTATTAGAGCTGTTACCCAATCCTAGGATTGGGTATAACTAAGTAGCATCTGAAAACACTAAAAACTAAGCCAAGGAAAACTTCAACGACTGAAGATTTACTGATAACGCAACATATTCTAGGCAGTGAGACTGTCACTGATTATGCTAACTGGCTACAGCACTGAATAATTTACAATGACTAACTCAAGTACTTCAACTTTCGTGACGATAATAACTTTTAGCATGCTAAATATACCAAAAGAAAGTTGGCAGAAAGTATGAAGGCAGTGTTTGAAATGTCTAGCTTGTAAAATAATGTTAAACCATGCGACTTACGTGCAACGCACTTAGTCGAAAGACCCACAGTAATTGTGTCCAATGTCCAACGTAAATCTTGGAAATCATTTATATCATCGGCAAGCTGTATAATCGTTCTGTTTTGAGTGTGGACCACTGACAAGATTTTTATGTGTAGACATTATTAGAGCGCTTCACTGCTTTTGATATATTTGCAAATTATCCAAAATTAGTTGTAATGTCTAGTTTTGGTGTATGGGAACCACTGATATTTTGAAGGAGAATTCACTCCTATCTCAGTGTTTACAGAACGAAGACTTACTAAATGTCGCGTATGAAGATCTTTTTGATTGGGCGATTATGGCTGAAACATCAGGTCCTTAGGGGTTTTTCACTCTCATTTAACACAGTGGTCCTCCAAAGTTCTTTCCAGATTGGGTTATAAAACAGTGCCATGTGGCTGCGAAAGACTAATGAGTCATCATCGCACGCCACTCAGACGTAAATAAGACTCTGTGTTGACACTAAGTGGTATGAAGCTATTTTGTAAGAGTCGCCTTCTCAGGTCAACTTCTGTAGTGTGTTCTCTCTGTAGTTGTTAAGGAATGTAAATGTTCTCTTATAGGAAATGCACGGACTACGCTAGTGTTTTCTGTCTTCAGGCACTTACACAGTCGTGACACACTCCTAGACAAATGAAGGTTTGCGACCTGAAATATTCCGCATAAGAGTCCTGGAACACTCTATACTCGGTAATCTGCATGCTACAAATCACTCGCATCGACAGTTGTGGGTAGATTCCCACTTGATTTCCCTGGCAATGATGACGTGTAACTAGGCGTTTGTTGCCATTTTCCAGTAAATTTTATTTGTTGTCTTCACACAGTACCAACTGTTTTTTTACACAAACAAAGGACGAGTGCAAATGTCCCGAGCGTCTTACCGGATTCAGGAAGTTCCCACAGGAGAATTGGAAAACTACAATTCCAAACTAATAATAATTTCCTTTGTGTGTGTTCGTATTACTGATGATTCAGTCGCTTATTTTTGGTTCCAGGCTGTCAATGCTGATATCTCCCTACTACCTTCAGGAGGTGGTATTTTCTTATTTGTGTCACCTCAGACGACCAGTTGCAAAGCGACTGTTGTGGTATAACAATACGGATGAAGATATGAGTTCATTACTCTAGTTTTTGAAGTATGTGCGAATGTTTGAGCCGATATAGGGAGGATTAATATCTAAAAAGCCCACATGTTGTCAAATTTATTGTGATATGATAGTGATATCAACTGAAACTTTAGTAGCTGGGTCAATATACTCCGCAGACAACTGTGAAGTAGTTCCGTAAACTACCTCCCTGAGACAGCACTCGTTTTCCTGCTCTTCCTTTTTAAAATATCCCCAACAGTAATAGTAACAGTTTGTCATTTCACTTATGATTATTAATCAGTATTATATTTGATGATTTCATCTGAAGACGGAATATTATCCCGAAGCCATTGGAGCTGAAGTGGTAAGGAATGGAGAATATGCGCTGGATTTCAAATATTCCCTCTGTCTTCGAAATAAATGGCCTCCTAATCCACCAGCCTTGTATATCCTGATGACACTAGGTATTCAGAAATACAATCCTTGATTGATCTCCTTTGCAAAAACAGGTGATTGAACTTACGTAGCGGCCACCGACCATCTCATAAATTCGTCACTACACATTACGGTCATGTGAAACATTAGAAGACAGTAATGATCCAAGTATATTAATGTGTATGTGCTTGAAACAGGTGGATGGACGTAGATCATTTCTAGAAATTGAAGCGGCGTGTTGTTGCACTCTTGCTCTCTGATAACCTGAGTAAGCATAGTCGAATTCCAGAATTCTCGGTTCACAATCAGATACACTAATCTCTAACTAATTTTATTGTTGCTCAAATACTAGGATAAGAAATGCTATTGTTCCTGGAGAAAAAACTAGTCGTTTAATCTGTGATAACACAAAGTATCAAATTTTCTCCATTATATCAGATTTTCCCTTAAAAACCTTAGGTGGAATAGACAGACTGCCACTGTGCTTGGCAGCCTGAGAACACGATTGTTAAGATTACACGTGAGAGGTATTGGTTCTGCTGTCAATATGCTACGCTATACCAGCCTTACAGAACCCAAAATGCCTAATCATCCACTTAATCAGTACACTGCCTGACCGGCAAGTAATGATTACAAAGCACGAATCAGAAAAGACTCAGTTACTCAGAAATGTGCTTTGGTGAGCAACATATTCAAAAATAATTAAATACTATGAGTATTTAACGAAAAGACTGGTATGGTTGAACAATGAACTCTAAAGGCTGAGCTCTAATGGAAGAAAGGAGAAGGACAAATGACACCTTGGCGTGGTCGGATGTGCACTCATTCAAGCAAAATCAAAACGCTTATAGCATCCGCAGATGGGCTAGATATTTGTCTAGTTAGCATTAAGTTAATTCATTTTGATTCTGTTTAATCGTAGCCTGGGTGTATTTTGATGCCATGTAATATGCACTACACTTTTTAAGCCCCTTCAAGTCTTGGGCTTCCGCAGGCCAATTTGCTGTCTTCTGAAGGTCACTTCAACATCTTTCTAAAGTGTTTGCATGGACACGGAATGTAGCTTCACCTGTGAGGAAAACATTTCTCTACAATTGTGAAGTTCGGTGTCTTGCATCGCAATTGACCAATATTGTTCAAACTGATGTTTACTGAAGATAGATGATTGATACCACATTGACAGAGGGATGCAGCTGCTACGTTTGTGTCTTCATCGATATGGCGTATTTCATTCGAAAATTTGGAAATATGGTCTAGCTTCTCTGGAGAGTGGTTATCCGGCGACGTAGTGAAAGCATGGCAAAGGGGCTAGTGGTCTTTAAAAATAGTAACGAAAATGATTGACCACTAGATAGATAGTCAACAATTCTTTCCCAAAATCACTGTAGCGAGTGTGAGCTGTTTTCAACTTCTTAGAAAAGAAAGCACTTGGAGTGACGTCTTTATTTAATTTCTGTTGTAGTACTGCCCCTACTGCCAGCTGCGACGCATCTGCAGTCTTGGACAATAAGAATGTATGGCGTTTTGTTATTTGTTGAAAATGGAAACACTGTACACAACTTTCGTTTAAAACAATTCATTGTGAAGTATACACGGCTTGGGGTGTGATCCGAAATGCAGTGTACTGGTGGTCGCTTCGTCTCCTAACTTTTACATACTGTTTTCTTGTTTCACTCATAACCGTATTGTATACTATGGATTTTCGCAAGAACCTCTTATCCTCATCCGAAGACTATTCTACAGCCGGTAAACAGCTTCTACCAGTAGACACGACTCCAGCAGCGAACGCTTCTGTGGATTATGTTAATAATTTGTGGCAGTGGATTTTGAATGTATGACCAAGGGCGAAATTCGGCAATAGCATCCCAAGAGTGCGAACGCTCCAATGCCCTTGAACGCATGCTAGTCGTTGGCTGACGGCACCTGTCATTATCATAGCTGAAATATCAACGCTATTCACCAACTAAGCAGCAAATTTCACTCAGATCACGTTTTTAAGTACTGTTTCGACAATGTTTTAATAGCTCGTTAGGGTTAGGATGAGAGTTAGGTTTACGGTAAGAATAAGGGTTTTAATTAGGGTTAAGACTAAGGTTGGCGTTAACTTCAGGGTTGGGGTCAGGTTACGACTAGGGATAGATTTAGAGCTGATTTCATTTATTTTAATTTGTTTTCCCATTCAAATTTTCCTGATAAGTTGTCGTCGATCTTCCTACTGGAAACCATGGTAATTCAACCGAGGGCTTTGGGGAAGACTTCAAAACAGGATAAGAGAGATGAACGATTCACAAAAATTGCTCACCTTCAGTCACCTCAGTGGATACATGCGAAGAAACTAGTCTAAATTAAGTACTGAAACTCCTCATTGTAACTGGAATGTATTTTTAAATTATGTCAGAGAAAGATAACCTGTACAATGTATTTTCGTGTATTTTCTTTTAAATATACGTCATTTTTGTGCAAAACCTCCTCATTTTTATGATTGGTCGGCTGAAGTTCACCCTTGAGTTCGTACCGCTTGCGACGCTATTGTTGAACTTTACCTGACCAAGTAACCGACTAATTATGGTATAACTGCTTACTGCAGTTTGATTGGACACTAGTAACAAGTGTGACGTGTCTAGTTCTGTCTTTGGTACCGACTGAATTCTGTCAGTTGGGTTTGCAATGTGGCCACCATTCTAGGTAGCTCACCATCACGGTGCACATTGATTTGATGATATTAGATGGTTGGAGGCAATCGGCAGGAAGCCTTGGACCTAGACATATCACACTAGTTACTATTGTCTCATCAAAGTATCCAGTAGAGTCCTACAGCCGGCCAATCGATAGCCAACCTGAATAGCTCAGTGGTAACGTCTCTGACTGCGGCACTTACTAAGTGACGTGGGTTCGAATCTAAGAAGAGATGAGATAAGTTCCTTCAAGGTTGTAGATACGCCTTGCTGACTGGGGAGTGCGCAAAATCTAGGGCCAAGGCTTCCTGTGGCCGATTACCTCCAACCATCTAATATCATTACTGTACTTTTTATAATATACTGTAACACTGTTATCTCATTTACTTGTATTTTGATTCTAATATTTGTTCTATTACTGAGCTCTCTAGAAAGTCTCCTACATATCTATTTTGATTTATCACTAATGATTCACAAAAGTCCTAAGCTTCCCAATGGGTATATAGGTGTCAGATATAATTTTGTAAATATTTTTAGTTTCTAGCGCTTATAACGTATAATTTTAGGATAAAATTTCACCGTTTAGTCACTTTTATACCAATTGGATGTCTGTCAGACATTTTCGTTGACAGGTACAATGCCTTTTCGTATATTTTACATAAGAATAATTATAATAGCTTGACTCACTATCCAACATTGTAGTTCACTATCATTCTGTAATTGAATTCTTGTTTACTTTATCTTGCTAGCCAAATGATAGTCCCAAAGAAGACACTATTTATGAGTTTCGGTATTCAGAGATGAGCT